TTACATCATCATCGGAAATTGAAATGAATCAGTATTGAGAATGTATCAATGTAGAAATTCTAAACCAACAAACAGAAACAGATACAGAATGGGGAAAAAAATGAAAGACAAAATATTGATGAAATGAAAAGGAAAAAAATTCGTTTATTAATGGTTGATTGCATTATGAATGAGTAGGGAGAGAGAGTAGGAGAATGAAAGAATGTTTTCTCATTACCAGATTTTTTTTTTTTTTTTCGTTGGCAGATGATTGTGTTTTCGTTATCCAAATATTACAATCCGATTCGATTCGATTCGATTCGATCCTATCATATATCGGTTGGATGAACAAATTTTGTTTGTTTGTTTGTTTGTTGTTACAACCGTTATAACGGTATTAAATGATTTTATATTATTGATTATGTAATGATGATGATGATGATGATGGAAAAAATGGTTACAAAAGTTTCATTTTTCCAGAATTAAAAAAAAATGATATATAAAACTAGTTTAATTGACGAGAATACGCCATCTATAAGAGAAAAATTATCAATTTTTTTTTTTTTTTGATTCTTGAGAATTAAAATTTTGATAAATGATAATTCTGTGTTTTTTTGTGTGTGTTGTTTTGTTATTTAAGAAGATTATTTATCGTCTGATGGTGGACATGATGTTATTTTTTTTCTCATTTACGATTTATTTTCTTTCATCATCATCATCATCATCATCATTTGATTCTTTGATTTCATTTAGAATTTTCTATTAGATCAGATTTCCTATTTACTATTGTTGTTGTTGTATTATATGGTATTTATTTTTGGCCACTATTTTTGTGCCCTATGGGCTCTATGTGCGTGTGTGTGTTTCTAGAATTTGATTAAATTGAATTGAATCGAATCGAATTGAATTCACAGTATAAAAACCAATCATATTGACAGTAGAATCAAAACTTTTGTTGTTGTTGTCGTTGTTGTTGTTGTTGTTGCTGCTTTTTTTTTGAATCAGTTCCAATGAATCAATTGACAATTTTGACCTAGTTTCTTCTTCTTCTTCTTCTTTTTCTTTTTCTTTTTCTTCTTTTTGGCTGTTTGTTTTATATGTAAATTCTTTTTTTTTCTCAATTTAATTTCAATGATGACAATGATGATCATTTCAATTCAACAGAATAATAATGGTCAATCCAAGTTGATGAAGTTTATTTTTCTTGTTGTTGTTGCTGCTGTTGTTGTTGTTGTTGTTGTTGTTGTTGTTGTTGTTATTGTCCACTTCTATACATAAATCAAGATGCTAATGCTAATTACAATCGTAAAGAAAAGAAAACAAAATCCAGAACACATACAATCAAACAAAAAGCTCCAATGGTCCAGTATTTAGAGATATTTCCATTGCCAAATCGATAACCATTTTCAGCAAGCAAAAACAAAAGAGCTGCACACGTTTTTGTTGTTCATAGGAAAAACGAAAAAAAAAAAAAAATTTTCCTTGATACTAATCAGATTTGGAAAAAAAAATTTCTTTTGCCATTTCTTTTCCGACATTTTCAAGATTTCGTGCGTGGGTGTTTGGTAATAATAATCAATGAGAGAGAGAGAAAAATGGAAAACACACAAACACACACATTCACATTATTATTATTATCATCATCATCATCATCATTATAATAACTTGTTTGAATAAATTTTTCCAGAAAGAATCCAAAGAAAAAATTAATAACCCACAAAATGATGATGATGATGATGATAATGGCTCTTGTGGTAATGATGATGATGATGGTGATTTTGGTAGCAGTGGTGATGATGATGGTGGTAATAATAGTGTAGGGTAGCCACTAATTCCGGTGTTTTGTCTTATTTCTTCAATTCATCATTATAGAGCATAATTTATATATTTTTTTTTGATCAATTTTTTTTTTCGTTTAAAGTTTCTTTCTTTCTTTTTTTTAAAAAAAAAACTTTGAGCCATTATCATCATTATGATTATTCTAATTAGATCTGTATATAATAATAAAGAAATATAAAACCCAATTTAGTCGTACGGTATCACCATCACCACCACCACCACCAAACCCGTCCGCATGGATAATGATAATTAGTGGGTGTGTGTGTGTGTGTGCTATTGAGATACGAAAAAATACCAGAACCAGAATAAATTCTGTTTGAAAAAAAGTTGATCGACTGACGAGCAAAAAAAAAAAGAATTGACATGATAATTATTATACTATTATTAATTAGCGAAATGGAAATTCATCAATTTACAATGGAATGAATAGAATTTGTCAAGTTTTTTTTTACATTCTTCTTCTCTGTCCTGGTTTTGGAAATGGAATCGATGAATTTTTTTTAAATCACAAAAAAAATTGTTTTGTTTTGTTTTTGTTTTGTCATCGTTTTTCTCTTCAAATTGATTATATAATTGATTTAATCCAATCATTATATATTTGTAGTTTGTTTTGGTCATTGTGATTGAAAATTCTGTTTTCGAATTCAAATTCAGTTGAAATCAATTTAATCAGATTAAAAAAAAACGATAGAAATGAAAGCTACACACCTACTACCCACCGACAATAGATACGCCCAATACATCATCATCATAAAAATTAATGATGTGTAGCCAACACCCAACAAACACCGAGAGCGAGAGAGAGAGAGAGAGAGAATTTCGATTGCCAATTGAAAATTTTATTTCGTTATTGTTCTTTTCATTCATATTTAAATTCTATTGAATTTTTTTTTGTTTTTTGTTTTGTTTTGCTATTCAAAAGTTTGACTTTAAATTAATTCTCATCGTCATGATGATGATGATGATGATGAGGATGACGAATTTTTTTTCTGGAATTTGGATTCAACTTGATCAAAAAAAAAAAAAAGAGTAGCAGCGAACAAAAAAAACTAATTTAAATATTCATTGCTTTTTTTTACGTTAATACTTATTATTATTATTATTGTATATTGACATTAATATTGCCAATCATCAATCTTTATTGTCCATTATATGGATTTTTTTTCGCGTACTTTGAAGCAAAAAAAAAAATACATTATTATTATCATCATAGCAATTTTGATCAATTGGCTATACCAATATACCATATACACGATTGTGTCGATTATTGATTTAGGTCGAACCGGTCGATCAATGCTTTCGGGCATTTTTTTTTTTTCATTTCATTTCGTTCATTCATTCGTTTGTTTGTTTGTTTGTTTGTTACTTGCCATTTCGTTTACCACTTTTATTTTTTTACTTCAATGATTATGATGTATTCTGGTGATGATGATGATGATAATGATGGTTTGTCAACCAGTGGAAAAAAAACTCAAACCCAAACCCAAACACACATACAATGAGATCTAATCAAGAATTTTCTATTTGGGAAAAAAAACATTCAGTGATTTTCAACCGTTTATCCTTGCAAAACTTTATTCAAACTGATTAATAGTTGAATACCACGGATTCTTCTACAATCAAACAATGACAACAACAACAACAACAACAACAAAAAAATAGTCATAATCGAGATTCGTGTAGATTTTCAATTTTCATCATGATCATCATGATCCATGTCATTAAATTTTTCAAATTTTCAACTGAAAAAATCCTTGGAATTTTTGTAATTTTTTTTATACTTGCTCTCTTCTTTCAAAACCCCAAAAACATTTATCGATTAAAAAAAAATTCTATTCTATTCTATTCGATTCTATTCTATTCTGGGTTAAAATACATGATGGCGTCATTACATATAATGTTTTTTTTTGCACAAAAACGATTGTTTGATATTCATCGATCGATCAGTGTGAATGGGGATGCCAAAAAAAAAAAAAAAAAAAAAAGAAAGAAAGAAAGAAAGAGGCAAAGAAATTTTCTGAAAATTTTTTGGCATAAAAACATACTCACTGAAAGTGTTAATGTACATTATTATTTGGTAAATGAAAATCATCTGGCTTCAATGTATTTTATACATGTGTTTTCATTGAAATTCATTCAATCACGTTCTATTGGAAAAGTGAATCAAAAAAACTTTTATATTTCGCAATCATTATCCAACAACAAACAGCAAAAATGTTTTGATAACACACTAGGTGTTGCCGTGTAAAGATAATCAAACGATAAAGATGAAATAAAAGATAGAAAGTGAAAAATTTTCAAAAAAAAAAAAAAAAAAAAAAAAATATCAGTTTTTGATCAGATTATTATTGAATGTGAGTGAGTGTTAGAGAGAGAACAAAATAAAAAAAAAGTAAACTTTGTAATCAAAACATAGAATCCATACACACACACACACACACACACACACTGACACTGGTCAATGGGCATTTTTGTTGATTAATAATGGACAAAAACAAAAAAAAAAAGTTTTCCTTTCACACACACACACACACACACCGGTGTCTAGGTATGTTTTTGTTTCTGTTGTGATAAATAGAGTTTTGATCGATAATGAAAGTTTCAATTTCCAAAAAAAAATTGTCATTTATAAGAACAATGACAATCAATGATCAAAAAAAATAAATAAATCCAATGAGCAGGTGGTAAATGATGAAAATTTTTCCATTTTCTTTTCTTTTTCATTTTTTTTTTTTTTGGTTTGTATGTTGTTTTTTTTTCGTCTTGAAATTCTAATCATTATATACATTGTTGTCTTTGTGTTCACAATTTGATCGATTCTTTTTTCTTTTTTTTTTTTTTTTCGTTGATGACAAGTGTCCTGGCCCTGGAAAATGAAATTATATTTTCTTTATTTTTATTCTTGTTCTAGTTGTCGTAAAAACCAATTTCGATTTTTTTTTGCCCATTCGTTCGTTCGCATGCCTAGTGTGTGTGTGTGTGTGTGTGTTTAATGTCTTTGTTCAAGCTTTCTATATAAATAATTTTATAGATTGATGATTCGATGATTTTGAATCTAACTTTTGATTTTGGGAATTTTTTTTTGCAAAAACACGTTTATAACGCCATCTAGCGTGAGCTGATCGAATAAATTCTAGTAAACATATGATTGTTTTTTTTATTAGTGGAATTATTTGATTTTCGATTTTTTTTTAAATTTTTAATTGTAAAAATGTTGCCATCAATTTTTGTGATAAAAAAATCATCATCATTGATATTTGATCCACGATGGAAAATGGTCATTCGCCATTTATCATCCGAAACGACTAAACGAATTCGAAATATTGGTCTTGTGGCACATATTGATGCAGGTAAAACAACAACAACCGAACGAATGCTTTATTATTCCGGTTCAAGTTCACAGATTGGTGAAGTACATCATGGTGATACAGTCATGGATTATATGGACCAGGAACGTGAACGTGGTATAACCATAACAATGGCTGCAGCAACAATTCAATGGTTAAAACATCATATCAATATTATCGATACACCTGGTCATGTTGATTTTACATTCGAAGTTGAACGATCATTATCCGTATTAGATGGTGCTGTAGTTGTTCTAGATTCAGCAGCCGGTGTACAAGCACAAACGATAAAAATATGGCGTCAAGTACAACGATTTCATATACCCGGTTTATTCTATGCAAATAAAATGGATAAATCAAATGCATCATTAGATCGATGTTTACAAAGTTTAAAACAAAAACTTCATATTGAACCATTATTACTTCAATTGCCTGTACAAAAACAAGGCATATTAACCGGTATAATTGATTTAATTAATGGAAATTATCTACAATGGCCATTAGATCATTATGATCGTTTAGAGATGGATCACAATTCCGCACAAATCCAAAGACATTGTCTTTTATCTAATGAGCTTTCAACGAAATGTTTAACTCTGGATGAACATCAAAAATATCGTGATGAAATGTATCGTGAACGTGAATGTCTGATATCAAAATTAAGTGATTTTGATGAAACATTAGCCGATCATGTACTTTCATTGGATCAAATTCATCGTATTAATCCTATTGAATTAATGAAATCTATACGTAAATCGTGCCTAAAACGACAACTATTTCCATTATTGATTGGTAGTTCTTATCGTAATATTGGTATACAGCCATTATTGGATGCAATCTGTGATTATCTACCTGAACCAATGGAAACACGTACAAATCAAATTCTTCATGAACATTATACAAGAAATCATACAAAACCAACATCCACAACGAATCTTTGTGCATTAGCATTTAAAATTCATTATCATCAACGATTAGGTCTATTAACCTATCTTCGTATATATTCTGGTTCATTAACACCCGGTATGAATGTTTATAATCTAAATCGACAATCAATGGAAAAAATTACAAAAATTTATCGTCCATTTGCTGATCATTTTCGTGAAATTACTGCCACCACTGTTACTTCAAATCATTATCATCAAAATCCGAAAACAATTCGAGAATCAATATCAAATAATATGATCACTATTGGTGATATTATTGCCGTATCTGGTTTATCCAATACCATTACTGGTGATACATTGATACATACAATGCATGAAAATGATCATGATATCAATAATGAAATACCAATGTTGGCCGGTATTGAAATACCTGAACCAGTTTATTATTGTTCATTAGAATGTCCAAGTGTTTCGAAATTCAAACAATTAGAGCTAGCATTAGATCATTTACAACGTGAAGATCCATCATTACATGTTAATCATGATCAAAATACACAGCAATTGATCATCAAAGGAATGGGTGAATTACATATTGAGGTAATAATTACAAAAAATCTTAATGGTTTTCCGTTTATAATGATTTAATTTTTTTTTCATTTAGATCATAAAAGATCGTATAAAACGTGAATATGGTATACAGGTGGAAACTGGTCCATTACAAGTATCCTATAGAGAAACAATAACAAAAAATCATCGTGAAACAATGGAACAAACAAAAATAATTGGTGGCCATTCAAATCAGATGAAAATTAGCTGTGAAGTTCGATCGAAATTAAGTTCACTTGATAATAAACACAATGTATTATTATTATCAGAAAATATTGATCAAAATGAAAATGATTTGAATCATATGGAAAATATAAAACGAAAAGCTGAAACCATAGTGAAAATTGTTAATTCAAAAGATCATAATCTTTCTAGTCAGATACGACCATGGCAATTGAAAGCAATTTATTCCGGTGTATCCAAAGCAATGGAATATGGGCCATTATTTTCATTTCCAGTTGTAGATGTACAGATTTTGTTGCATGAATTTGAAATCAATTCATCATCACCATTATTGTCACCATTCATTACAAATGTAACTAGTCATTGTATTCTTGAAGCATTACGACAATCAAAACCGATTCTAATGGAACCAATTATGTTTGTTGAAATCATAACACCAGAACAATTTATTGGTCCTATTATTTCCGATCTAACTATACGTCGTAGTCGATTAATGGCAGCTGATAATAACCAACAGCAACAACAACAATCATCAGAAACCGAACAGATTGAAGAAAGACATATATTAGCACAAGTACCACTAGCAGAATTATTTAACTATTCAACAACATTACGTACAATAACATCCGGTATGGCTACATTTGATTTACGTTTACATTCATATCGACCATTGGATAGTGAACAAACGGCCAATGTGATTAAATTAATAAGTGGTATTGAATGAGGAGACAAAAGAAAAAAAAACAAATTTGCCAATTATAGATTCAAAATTCATGTGCCTTATGAAAAACCATTTACCATCATCATCACATATCATCATCATATGGATTCTAATTCTCAAATTGAATAAAAACAACAACAATAACAACAACAACAACAAAAAATTAATCTGTCATCGAAGGAATTTGTGTATGTGTATGTAATATATGGCATTTTGTTCTTGAATAAAAAGATTTTTTTGTTGTTGTTGTTTTGTTTTTGCTTGTCAATTTGTTCATTTTTAAATCATAAAAAAAAATTCTTGTTCGGTTAGAGTTGTTGTTGTTGTCGAATGTATATGTAATTTTTTTTTCAATACGCCCAAATTTAATTTATTAGAATGTGGGACGTGTTGAATATGAAGAGAGAGAGAGAGAGAGAGAGAGGGGGTGATTCAAACATAGTGGTGATTATGAATACAAGACAGTAGTTAGTCATCAATAACAAAACCAAAAAAAAAAAAAAAATGAGAGAACAAATGTGTGTGAAAATGTATGGCTCAAAAAAATAAATGGATTGGCAATTTGTTGTTCGCCCATATATATATAATATATATTGACGATGATGTGTCAGTATTTATGTTTGTGTGTGTGTGTGTGTGTACTCTAATTCACGCCAAAAACTATAACTTAACTATAACCAGCAAATTGAATGTTCAGGCACCATGTTCAACATATATGCTTATTCTTCATCATTCTATGGATGGGATTGAATGCCAACCACACACATATACAATGAATTAAATGTTGATTTTTGGGATGGATGAAATCAAAAAAAAAAAAAAAAAAAAAAAAAACAAAACCTGTTTAACATTTCTATATGCTACTTCTTATTCATTCTCCATAGAATATTGTTGTTGTTGCTGTTTCTGTTGTTGTTGTTGTTGTTGTTGTTGTTGTTGTATGTTAATCCATTAATTATTTCACAACATCATCACCATTATTATTATTTAAGCAATTTGAAATTTCAAATAGATTCAATGAAAAAAAATCAACAACAACAACAACAACAACAAAATTAAAGCTTGTTGCTTCTTTTTGCATAGTTCATTTCATTTCATTTCTTGTTTGTCGATCTTTTTTTCCTCCCCAGTATGTGTGTGTGTGTGTGTGTCGACAATGAGTATATAACTTGTTCTGATCATCATTTCGATGATGATGATGATGATGGCTTCCATCTATAATACATCCAGTCCAACATTTTCTACCATTAAACAACAAACAAACTAACTAACTAACTAACTAGCCATACAGGAAAATAAATAGCAGTAGTATAAATGTATGTATGTATGTATGTATATAGTGAGAACTAGCAAAACTATTTTTTTTTCGTTGATGATGAAATTTTTTTTTTGTATAGAACTATCTGGGAGCCATATACAATTTTTGTTGTGTGTGTGTGTGTGTGTGTGTTGAAATATACATCTCGTATAAATATAAATGAATTGAATGAATGAATGAATGAATAAATAATACAGGATGATGATGGCTTTTGTGAAATGAATTGAATTGAGTGAATGATGACGATGATGACGATGATGATTTCCTTGAACAATCTTTTTTTCTCTTTTTATTTCTATTCATTCATTCATTCATTCATTAGTCTATTCCATCATCAAATGGATGGAGTAAAATTTTTGTTCATGAGTTACCATCATCATCATCATCATCAACGTGGTTACCTGTTGTTATTATTATCGTTTTTTTGTGAAATTTTTTGTTGTTGTTGTTGTTGTTGTTGTTATTATCATTAATATAACACAGTGTGTGTGTGTGTGTGTGTGTTTTACATCACAAGTTATTATCTGCCATTGATTGTTGCATTAACCCTGCACTGTATTGATGAATATAATAAATAGTGATCATGATGATGATGATGATGATGGTATGTGTGTGTGTGTGTATTTCTTTTTGCTTAAAAAATTCTGATTTTGTTTTGGTAGAAAAAAAATCAGAATCCTTATACGTGTGACACATGATGATTGGATGAGATATATTAATGATAACCACCACCGCCAATCACGCACAATCACAAAAAAAAACAAATCCAACAGCTAGCAAACAGACACACACACACACACACACACACACACACGTACACACTAAAGAACCAAAATGACAATGATTAATATAAGAAAATGTTTAAAAAACAGACATTCTGATCATCATCATCATCATCATCATCATCATTACTATTACTATTATCGACCATATATTGATCAAAAATTTACAACGAAAATGTATTGTGATGTTAATAATCATAATAATAATCATCATTATCATCACAATGATGATGATGATGATGATGATGATTCAAATATTATTATTAGACAAATTAAATCATCAACATTGACAACAAATACAGCTAAATTGAATCAAAATCAAAATACATCATCATCATCATTATCATTTCTATTGTTTATCATCATCATTTCAACATTATGTTTATTTGGTAAGTTGATCCAATTTTTTCTTTTGCATTTTTTTTATTGTTGTTGTTCCGGTCATCCAATCAAGGCCAAAAAAAAAAAACATGATCATTTGACCTTAATTTGATGAATGAATTTATATTGATTTTTTTTCTATTTTTTTTCCTGAATTTTTTCCATATTCACATGATTGATTATTCTACATATAAATAAATATATATATATATATATATAGGCCTGGTACAAGGTGAAATATGTCGTCAAATTTTACCAAATACTTCAAAAATTGAAGTATTCGAATGTCCAAGATTATTTGAATCACGAATAAAATCCTGGTGTTGTCAATCGAATACATTACATCCAACCTGTTGTCAATGGAGTGAACGTCTTGGTGAAGCTGAACCACAACGTATTTCATTATCGTCGATAATAATAAAAATATTTTTGGTCATTTTATCGGCATTCATATTGGTCATTTTATATTATTTTTGTATTCGAAGAAAAAATGATAAATACCATCAACAACAACAGCATCAACATCTTTCTTCTACAAATTATCATCGTGCACATCATCCTGATCCTAGTTGTCCACCGGCATCATCATTGAATACTACTATTACCACTACAAATAGATCTAATAATTATAATAATAATCAAAATAACGGAAATGGTGCAACTATAAGAAGATCAATAAATGATGAACAAACAATGCCAATGTTGGAACCACCACCACCATATGAATCGATTGCTATTACAAATACAAATGATAATAATAATGATATGATCAATACGATTAATATAAATGTACCTCAACAACAACAAAATCAATCATTAATCGATGAAGAAAATTATAATAATGGCCAAATAATAACAACAACAACAACAGGAATCAATAGACAATCACCATATAATCCAGAATTTATAAATAAAACTTGATACTCATCACCATCATCATCATCAATTGGTATTTGGAATTCCATACAAAAAAAAATATTCCTTGATTCCATTTGATTGAAAATCATCAAATTTTTTTCGCTTTTTTTTCCAATAATCTCGATTTTCATTTTCAATTATGCAATTTTATTTTTGTTTCTCACAATGATCTGATTTTATATCTATATATGAATATAAATGTACCGGTGATGTATTTTTTTTTCGGACAAAAAAGTGAAATGATTTTTCCACAATTTTTTTTTATGCTTTTTTCAGAGTTTTCAGAATCGTTTTTCATTTCGTGTATTAATTTAATGATGATGATTCCATTTAAAATTTTATTGATGATTTTTCTTTTCTCTTTCTGTCTCGTATATACTCGAATACATAATAATAATAACAATCTTTATAATTCTTCTGTCTTTTTATTAATTGTTTTGATGGATTTGAATAATAATAATAATAATAAAAAGTCGTCAATTGAGTTGGTTTGTTTTTTTTTTTTTTTTTGTTTTCAAATTATTAATACAAAAAAAAGATGAAAAAAGAAAATATTGTCATTTTTTAAAATAATAAAACACATATCGCCATCTAGTGAGTGAGTTGTAAGTTTTTTTTGTTGTTGTCATCAATTAATTATATCGATTTTTGTTCAAAATGATTATGAATAATAATAATAATGATAATATCCATATAGCCGATAAATTGATTGAAAGCCATACAAATTCGGCTACTTGTGTATGTTCAAAATAATGATCAAATGACCAACCACGTGACATTGCTGAACGCATCGATTCAGCAATAGATGTCCATGGATATGAATATAACATTATTGTATGAATAATTGGTGGTAAACATTCAAGTGGAAATATTAGTCCAGCCAATGTGATAGCGATGATAAAATTAATCCAATGAATTACTATGGTTGTTGTCAATGATGTACACAACATAAGTATAATCGTAGCCATTAAAATCAAAACTGATTGCATAATGGATAATGTTATGAATAGCGTCATACCAGATGTTTCAAAACGGATTTCCATAATGGATATTAATATAATCATAAATAAAATTGTTTGGCCAATTAACATTGCAAATTTTATCAAAAACCAAATAATCAATAATGAACATCTGGATATTCTTGCCATTGCTAATGATGAACGAAACATTTGTGATCGAATCAATTCATTCAATTCATAAATCGATAATATTGTTATGGCGAATTGCATGGCCAGCATGATAACGCCAGGTAAAATAAAATCAGTCATCGGTGTATCATCATTGCCATAAATATTTGGTCTGACCACCGATAATGGTTGTGTCATTCGTGTTTCAACTTGATTTTCTTTTGCATCATGATGTGCACGTTCAAGTGCTTGTAAAACTTTTGCTTTAACAAAACCGGCTATCAATATGTTTGTATTATCCACATACATTAATATAGTGACCATATTAATTTTTGTTTCTGGTTCTGATTCAGGCAATACAGTTGTCGTTGATGTTGATCCATTTACTGACGTTAGAATTTCATTTATTTCATCATCATCACCGGATAAATCATCACAATGCTACATTAATTGTAATTAGATATATTATTTAAAATTAATTCCATCAATCATACAATTTTTATTTCATACAAACCTCTAATGCTTGATTGAATATAGAATTCGTATAATTGGCTGGAAATTCTAATGCAGCCCATGCCTGTCCATTGCGTACCATTTGAATGGCATCATCCAAATTATCCTCATATATTAGATTTATTGTATTGCTATCCAATACATTCAATACATGTTTGCTGACAATTGGTGGTGAATCAGGATTATAAACAGCAACACGTAAATCATGTGGATTTTGGCCCAATAATTGTACACAAAATATAGCCAATAATGTTGGTAGTATTAATTGAAATAATGATAATGATAATCGTTTTAGAATGAACAATTGAATTAATAGCTGAAATATGGTCATAAATTTAGTGCTTGCTGAAACTTGTCGATAACGATTCGGTTCACATGGTTCTAAATCAGTCGATTTTTTTAATTGATCCATTGTTTCAGCTAGAACAATTTCGCTATTAATTCTTGCCGATAAACAATGGCGAGCAAATTCATTAATTTTATGATTTGCATCCATAGCGATTGCTGAGAATTTTTTCTTCATTTCCGGACTTTTTTTATCCATTGAAATTCTACTTGAACTAGCAATCGGATCACTTATATTGATTTGATATAAACGACATGGATATAATTGTCTATGATCAACGATTGCTGCATGATCAGCATAACGGCAATCTTCAACCTGTGTTGTAGAGAATATGACAGTAATATGTTCCTGTTTACATGATAATTTTAATTGATGCCAAATTTGTTCTTTTTGTATGAGATCTGAACCAAAATCTGGTTCATCCAATACTAATACACTTGGTGAATGAATCGATGCCATTGCCAATGCAATCAATGATTGTTGTGATTGATCTAATTGTTGTAATGGTTGTTTAGCTTCACTAATTCCAATCAAATCAATTAAACTTTCATAACGAATATTTGCCACTTCTATTGGTAAGCCATGTAATCGTGCCATTAAATTTAGATTTTCAGCAATTGTAAGCTGTGTAAAGAATCCATTGTTTTGTGGCATAAAACCAATACGAACTGGTTGATCATATGTTTGTCCATAATAGGTAACTTTTCCTGTACGTGGTGATCGTATGGTTGCTATTGTTTCCAATAATGCTGTTTTACCAGTTTTTTTCGAACCAATTATTCCAAATATTTGTCCATTATCGATACGAAAATTTAATGATTCAAATAATGTACGATTTCCATTGATAATATTAACTTCAATCAATTCAATCATCATACTATCTTCATTTGTATTTTTATTATTATTATTATAATTAAAATTCGATAATCGATATGGACGATTAGTTTTTTTCTTATTTACATTTCCAATACCATTATTAACATTGGATGAATTATCCGATTCGGTATTAACGGATATACCAAATGTTTTCATTGGTATCATACTGGTATCACCATTGGTATTACCACTATTAATATTTGTGGTTTTTTCGGAAAAAATTCTACCATCATTTGTTGCCATTATGTTGAAATTTTAATTTATTGATTGATTTATAATCGATATTAATTGATTATTCGATGGATTGTTTGCTTGTACGTTGCTTTTGTTGTATTTATTTTTTTTTCTTGATTTGATTTGATTTATGTCAATTTTTACACACACACACACACAAAAAAATCAAACGAAATTCTTAATATTTGTCATCAAAACACATATATATAATTATTATTATCAAAAACAGGTAAATGATAAACACATCATTAAAAACACAGTGGTAAAATTTATGATTTAATCACACACACAAACACACAAAAAAAATTTTTTCAATTCTCAAAAATCAGAAATCAAAAAGCTATCATTTTTCATTCATGAAACAATCTTTTTATCGCAACAAAAAAAATGATGGTCAACTATTTTCAAAGTCATTGATCATCACATCGAATTTCACAATTTATTATTGTTTGTCATTGTTGAATGTTTGTTTGGGCAGCAACAATAAGTGATGATGATGATGATCATCATCATCATTCATTTATTGTTTTGAACTTGAAAACAAAAAGAAAATTTTTTAAATTAAACAAAACAAAACAAAACAAAACAAAAATGAACAAATATGAATATCTCTTGCTCTCACCATCATCGTTGTCGTATATTATCATATTTATTTATTGATTTTTTTTCCAACATCTTCATCATCGATTTCACTAATACAATACACTCGTCGTCGCTGTTGTCGTTGTTGATGTTAATTTTGGCAAAAAAAAAAAAAAATTTTTCTTCCTTTCATATTGATTGATTGATTGTTCACTTAGTCAATGTTGTTGTGTATTTATGTAGGAAAAAAAAATATACTGAAAGAATCAAATGAAAAAAATACAAAATTTTGAATGATAAATTCATTTTTCATTTTCTTGAATTGAATTACTATTTCTCTCTTTCTCTTTCTCTTTTTTTTATTCGAGTTCTTTTGTTTTGTTTTTAAATATTTTCATTCTCTCTCACTCACTCTCTCTATCTATCCATCTATCGTTGACTATTATCATCATCATCATCATTGTCTTTATATATCTCAATTATTACTTTTAATTTTCTTTTCTGTTTTTTTTATATATATTTTTAATCCAACTGACTTGATGATGACTGGTGTTGAAATGGCCATTATAATAATAATAATAATCGATTGAATGACATTGCCAATCTCATAGTTTGTGTGTGTGTGTGTGTGTGTGTTTGGTGTGTGCGAGTGTCTGGTATGTTTTTCTTTGTTCTAAAATGAAATTTTAAGCAAATCTATTGAATGAATGAAAGAAATTTTCTATTCTTATGGCCTTTGTTTTTTCTTCTTTCATTTTCAGTTTTTTTTTCTACCAAACACACACACACACACACACACAAACAATTATCAATTAAATTTTTGAATAATTTTTTTCCTTTTTTTTCTGAATCTATAATGAGAATTTTTTTCTTTTTTTGCCAATTTCTGGTTATTATTACTTGACTGGGTATTTTCAATTCGATTAACATCATCATCATCATCATCATCATCATTATTATTCACAAAATTAATAATAATAAAGTCCGACAATATCGAATGATCGATTGATTGATTAATTTTGATTGGCTAGCCTTTTTTTTTATTCATCTGTCTCTTTTTATCTCTCTCTCTTTCTCTGTATTCATTTCAGCGGATATGATTAATCGATAATCGAATGTTTTTGTTATTTGATTCGTTTTTTGTATTCAAGCGATTTTTTTTTTGAATTTCAAGCTTTTGGTGTGGCCATTTAAAAAAAAAAAGTTGATCGCCATCATAATCGCGAATATCATCATCATTGTCAAATGGTTATCTGTAAACCAAGAAAGAAAAAGAGAAGAAAATTTTTTTTTTTTTTTTTCACGAAACCATGAACCATTAGCCTTGAGTGTTTGTCATCACCAGTTACATTGAACATTTGAACAGATTTGGTCATATTTTTTTTTTATTTTCTCTCGTAGAAAATTTTTGTAAATCATTTATAACAGGAAAATAAGAAAAAAACCTAAAATTTCTGACAAACAATTGAAGGTCATACACACATTTTATGGTGATTTTCAGGTGATTTACTTGACTCTTTTTTTTGTGTGTGTGTGTGTGTGTGTGTGTGAGGACAACAGGTATTGACCACAGGTGATATTGTTTTTTTTGTGTGTGTTTCTTTTGTGTCAATTATTTGAACTAGATTTTTTTATATATATATAAATATATTCAAAATTGAATTAAAAATGTAAAATAAAGGACACATTGTTGTTGTTGTTGTTGTTGTTGTTGTTTATTATCATTGATTTCCACACATGAACAAAAACTTTGGTTGTTGTTGTTGTTGTTGTTGTTGTTTTTATTATTCCAACATAACATGAATTAAAATCAAATTTTTTTTTTTTTTTTCGTGTGTGTGTGTGTGTGTGTTTGTTTCTTAAATCTCAAAATACAAAACAAATTACAAGGTTATGGTAATGGTTATCCAACACACTAGATTTAAGACACGTATATATACACAAACAAACACACACACACGCAAACACACACACTTTTTTTTTGATTTTCATTACAAAATAAAATTCCATAGATAATAACCGAATACAATACCAGTGACAATAATGCCGATTATTGTGCAAACAGCAACTATGAAATGAAAACGAATATTAAAAAAAAAAACAAACAAACAAACAGTACATGTGACAGGAAAATATATATGATGAATATAATAATGATAATGATAATTACCTAATGACCAGAATAAAATTTTATTAAAACAATGATTATTATGTGAATTATTGTCATAATTTCACACAATTTATGAATGGATATTTTCGTAATAAATATTCGTCCAAATGTTTTTGTATATCAATAATTGATTTATGTTTACAATTTTTACGTATGGCAATATTATTATAACATTTTTTGTATGGTACAATCAATTGGCAACAAATTTTCTATGAAATATTAAATATAATTTTAAAAGAATTAAAAAAAACATTTTTTTTGTTGTTGTTGTTGTTGCAATCTTCATATACTTCTTACCTGCATTTGATCATTGGATAAATTGTCATTGTCAACAACAATCATCATATCATCATTGAATATATTATCATAATCTTCTAAATGATTTTCAAAATCTAAATCACAACGTTTAAAAAGTCGTAAATTTTTTCTATAACAATCATCCATATCTTTGGCCATTTTATTATTGACACTAGTTGCAATTGTTGTTGTCGTTGTTGTTGTTGTTTTAAATGTCGAATTCAATATCCATAATTCAAAATCAATAGCATTACCATAATTGTCAATGAAGATGATGATTAAAATGGTTATTGTAATAGGAAATTTCGTTATCATTTTCATCATATTGTTTTTTTTTTTGAATTTCCGGATCTTTTCTTTTGTCTTGGATATTCTTGTTGTTGTTGTAAATTTAAAAAAAATTGATCTTTGCGTGTGTGTACAGTTTTTATATATAAATGAATATGAATATATACACAGCACACACATACATTTGATAAATCGAAAAATAGCCAATAAATCTCATCATCAATTTGTCAATTTCCATTCGCCACAAAAAACGCGCGCACACACACACACACACGATTTAATGATTATTATTATTATTATTGGCACATAAATTTTCTGCCAAAAAAAAAAAAAAAAATATTTTCCATTCCATCATGGCGGAAAAATAAAAAATTCAAAAATTTTTCTTTTCGTTTTGATATTTACATTTTCTATATAGATATTATTTCTATTCACACATATCAATTTTGGCCAATTGACAACAAATTTTTTTTTTCAAATCTTTATTCAGATTTTTTTTTATCATAATCATAAATGAGCAGCAATTATTAATTACAAATACACAAATTATTAATGAAAAAAAAAAAATTTTTATGAAAATCGTCAATCAGAATGAATGTGAAATTTGAAAATCTTGGAAAATGATAAATTTAAACGACCATGGTTTGATGACAATGATCATCGTACATATTTGTTTTCATGAAAAAAAAACGATGTTGGCACATGAAATTAATCAATGTGTGTGTGTATGTATGTTTGTGTGAGAAAAAAGCTTTGTTGTTGTTGTTGTTATTGTAACAGATTACGTCTCCACCAAGGTGCCTGTGATGATTGGATGTGAAAATCAATATCAATATATCAATATATGTAATTATAATGGTTTTAAGTAATTTGATGATAATTTTTGGTCATTTTTTTCAAAATTGTTTTTGTGTGCGTGTATTTTGTAAGGGTATAATGTCCTAGATGAAGATGATGAAATGAATCACAATAAAAAACAAACCACAAAGAGTATGAAATCAAAATTTTGGCACCAGCATAATAATGATGCAAAAGAAAATGTTACAATTGGAATATGAAAACAATAAAAAAAAACTTTTGAATTATGTGTTAGTGTGTGTGTGTGTATTTAAAGCTCGAAAAACATGAAAGAATGTTTCAAAATAATGGAATGGACATCACATGATATTATACATTGATTACAAAATGAGAATCAGAATGTTTGTTTTGTTTTGTTTGTGCGTGTATGGGTGTTGTCTATGTCAAAAATCAATCAATTCAATGACATTATTATTATAAGATGATTAAAAAAAGCGACGATCAATGATGAAATTTTCATTCGTTGTTTGTTGTTTAGCAAAATGTTCGTTTAAGACAACCAATTAGCGAACAGAAAAGAATGAAAATAATCACGACAATAAGAGCAACTAAAAAACAAAACAAAAAAAAGAGAGGAAAATATTAACCAAATTTGATTTATCATTAACATCAACACTACATACATATTGCCCAGAATAACAATGGATCCATACAATCGACAATATTATCATAAGGATCACAATCACTTGGATAAAGACCTTTTTTCATTGCATTCATAATACCATCAACGGTTTCTTGTGCTTTTGAGCCACAACGTAAACGTGCTACAGTATTGAGACATTGTTTATAAGAAATGAATGCACAACAGTATTCCTATATATTTATTTATATCAAACAAAAAAAAAGGAAAACAAAATAAAATTCAAAAAATGAAAACAAAAAATCATAATTACCTTCACTCTATCGCGTTGGCCATCAATGTTACTATACCAGTAGTTGATCTGATTCTGGCAGCCATCAAAATCTTCACGATTTTGTATCAAACAAGCTGCACCTTGTACTTCTTCCAATACTGAATCGATACCATTTGAAATGGATTTTTTAATCGAATCCAAAACAGAAGCATTGCCACCATTATTATTGATCAAATTGATCATGACGATTATTGAAACAATAAATACGAAAAATTTCGATATAATTCCAGCCATTTTGAATCAAAAAATGAAGATTTAAATCACTTTATTAAAAAAATTAAAATAGTGAAATATATAGTGATTGATGAGACAAATTATATGTGTGAACAATATGATGACAGACACAAATAGATCAAACAAAATCAAATGCAAAATGAATCGAAATGATCGAAACGATATTTTTCTTTTTTATTTTGTTCGTCAAAAATTTCGTTTTGTCAACGATTGGTGTGTGTGTAATAGTGTGAATTATTACTCATCATCATCATCAAAAAAAAAAACAACAAGTACACATTGGCCCACATAAACAAAGAAAAGAAAGTGAATGCTGCAGTATACTCTCTGGCCATAAGAAATACAGTAATACCCCGCTTAACGCGGGGGTTACGTTCCAAAAATTCTGAGCGTTAAGCGAAACAGCGCTAAGCGGGGCTATCTTTACATAATGCATTTTTACCCTTCATATACAATGTAACAATGTAATGCAATGTAGGGTAATTGTACAGCGTTATATCGAATCAGCGCTAAACGGGGCAGCGTTAAGCGGGGTATTACTGTATATTGAATGCGCAGTTGTTGAAAAAATATCCTTTTGCACATCATAAAATGTGGACGAGTCCAAATTTTCGTTTTTTCGTTTTTCTGTCTTCGTTTTTCTGTCGGTTGAGCCCAATATACAGTGCACAGAAGAAGAAGAAGAAAAAAAAACGGGGGAGTCAAGTCCTATGGAGACCACGCGGCGTCCAAACATTTTACAACAGAAGCAACACACACACACACACACATAGAATAAAAAAAATGGGAAAAGAGTTAGTTTTTGCACATTGAGATTGAAATAATCGATAAATTTTGTTGAAATATTCAACAGTTTATTATTCATTGATCGATGGATGTTTTTGTTTTGTTTTGTTTTGTTTTGTTTTAGTTGTGATTCAAATGAATCTGAATATAGAAACAAACAAACAAACAAAAAATCTAGATCGATCAGATTGATAGAGTAGCTTTTTTATTATTATTTCATGATTATTATGATTTCATTATTATTTGTTTGGTACCTGGAAATGAAAAACAAAACAAAACAAAACAGAAAAAAATTATTTTAAATTTTGTTTGTCGTCGGTAGTTATTCAGCAGCATCAGCAGCAACAGCAGCAACATGGCTAATTTGATTGATCCAATTTAGCCAAATAATTCAATATATCAATATGTGTTATAATAGCTGCAATCATTTGTCGATTGATTGATTCATGTTGATGTTGTGATTCAACAACAATAGCTACATATGGATGACGTCGTAATAAATGTATTAAACGTCCAATAGTTTCATTTGAACGCATAACAGGAAATTGTTTTTGTACCACTTTTGATACTGGACAATCTAAACTATTGATTGTACCGGCTGCTAATCTAGCCATTATATCCATAACAGTTACCATGCCAATTAATTGTTTTTTATTTATTCCATCATTATTATCCACCACTGGTAATTGATCGAATCCATTCATTTTCATTATATTTATTGCTTCTAAACATTTAGCTGTTTCATCAATGGTTTTAACATTAACACCTGAAATAATGAATAAAAGTAAATATATTATAAAATTCTTTTCTTTTATCTAAATATCTAGATGATGATATATATTAGATATGCAACAACAAACCTCCAATCAATTCTTTAACGATTTTATTATAAAACCATTTAGCTGGCTGTTTTGGTCGAAGTTCTATTGGTAGATCAATATTACGTTCTTCAAGCCAATCATCATCTAAAAATTTCGTCATATAATTACGAACACCATCCGGTAATACGACAACACAACGTTGTTGTTCATTCAATGATTTAGCCGCTCGTAATGCACCGGCTAATGCTGTACCAGATGATCCACCACATAATAAACCTTCCATACGAATTAACATTCTGGCTAAACGTAAACTTTCACGATCATCCACTTTAATCCATTGATCAATAACTGATCGATCCAATACGGTTGGTATAAAATCATAGCCAATACCTTCCACTTCATAGAATGTAACATTCGTTTCATTTAAATGATCAGGTTCAGCTAGAATCGATCCGATTGGATCTACACCAACTATTTGACATGTTGGTATCATTTCTTTGATACGACGAGCCACACCGGTAACTGTACCGCCTGTTCCAGCACCCATTACAACCATATCCACTTTATGATCGGTTTGTTCCAATATTTCACTGCAGTATTATCATAATGAGCCAATGGATTACTTGGATTACGATATTGATCCAATATAATTGCATTCTTCAGTTGTTTTTGAAGTTTTTGTGCCACACAAATATGGCTGTTTGGTGCATCAAATCTGGCGCTATTTGGTGTTCGAATGATTTCCGCCCCCAATGCACGTAAAACATTCACTTTTTCATTACTCATTTTTTCCGGCATCACAATAATACAATGATAACCACGAATAGCTGATGCTAATGCTAAACCGATTCCAGTATTACCGGATGTTGGTTCAATAATCGTATAACCTGGTTTTAGTTTACCATCATGTTCAGCATCCTGTATCATACGCCAACCAATACGATCTTTAACTGAACCACCAGGATTGAAAAATTCACATTTGGCCAATAATTCACATTTAATTTTAAAATATTCACGAATACGATCTAAACGTACTAATGGTGTATCACCAATATGTTCCAAGATAGTATCCATAATTTTTGGCTTTTCACGATGTTCACGATGATAATGTGGATTTGATTGTGGGTCAATTTTATTCATATTTAATGACCATTTACATTCACTTATTTTATCTGGTGGAATATAACCATGAATCGGTGCTGAAGAAATTTCAGGACCCATTTCCATACTCTTTGCTTTTTTCGTATCCAAATCGATAATTTTCATTTTGGATGCCATTTCAAATCGACATTGTTGAGCTGTTTCCATTTTTTTTTTTTTTTTTTGCTTCACTTTCAAAATAAGTTTTTTTTTGTTGTTTGTTTGTTTGCTTGATTGTAATTAATTCGTACACAACAAGAGATGAAATGGATTGAAGCAAGAAAAAAAAACGATTGAAACGTTGAATATCATCCAATATATAAATATCATAATCAATCAATCAATCAATCAATTGATCGATTTTATTGATTAATTTCTTTTAAAACTTTTTGCCTTGTAATATAAAGAAAATGATGATGATAACGAAAAAAGGAAAGAAAAAATTTATCAAACACATATCATCATCATAATTATAGGGACAAGATTACATTGTTTAATTATGAACATTGTCCCATATTGCACAACGTGTGTGTGTGTGTGTGGTTGTTCTTTGAATTTTTTTTTCTTGTTGGCATGTTTTCAGCATGATCAGAGATAAAAAGGCATGTTCAAACAAAACAAAAATTTTTTTTTTTAGTTTTAGGAATATTTGATCTTTTAGTATATATTATCTGAATGAACGTAAATATGGTTCGATAGCATTGATAGCACGACAAACATTGGCACTATCATCACATTTTTGATCATTATCATCAAGATCACCATTAGCATAGCGATGAAATCCTTTTATATTCATCATCATCATCATATTATTTATTGGCTGTTTACGTCGATTATTTGAATTTAAATTCATTTCAGATTTTGATACGGTTGATGATGATGAAAACAATTTATGTTTGGAAATGAAACGTAAAAAATTTGGCCAACAACAATAATATGAAAGAAATGGTAAACAACCATCATCATCATCATATTGATCATAATCATCATCATCATTATTATTGATTGTTTTTGTTTTTTGAAAAAAATTTGCCAATTGATTTGAAAATAATGTTGATGTGCGTCGTCGATTATTATTATTATTATTGTAATTATAATTTAAACGTTTCAATAGTTGTCGATTATTATTACTATTCATATGTTTTCCCATTGATAATAACAATGAACTAGTTTTGGCGCTATCCATTACAATTGAACGTAATTGTTCCGTTAACATACTGTGTCCAAATGATGATGATGATGTTGATGATTCAGTTATTAATCGATTATTGGCTCGTAATTTTTTCGTATCCAATTTTATTTGTAATTCTTCACAATCCCATACTAGAATATGTCCATCATATGATGATGTAAATAATTTTCCTGGTATCACTTGTAATGCTGTTATTAATCCCGAATGACCGGTAAATGTTTGCATTAATACAGCTGAATTTGCATCATATAATCGTGCACAATTATCATTACATCCAGTATAAACTAATTAAAATTAAAATGAAGAATAAGAATTGAATTTAGAAATTAAAAAAAAATGACAAAGTCTACAGAACTTACGAATTCCTTTGAAATATTGTAAACAACTAACCGGTGCTGTATTCTGATAATAAACACGTGTACATTGGCCAACATCCATTGCCCATGCACGTACAGTACGATCGGTTGAACCAGAATAAAGAATACGATTCTGTGCCAATAAACATAATATTGAACCTTCATGTCCAATAAGATCACGAACAAATTCACCGGTAATAACATCCCAATTTTTTATAACCGAATCAGCACCAGCTGTATATACGAAACTTGATTCTTTTCCATCGATTGCCAGACAATTAATTGGTCCTTCATGACCAGTGAATATGTGTCGAAGTTCACCAGTTGCTAATGAATAAGTCATAGCTGTACCATCGGTCGATGTTGATATGATAATATCCAATTCTTGAATCACACCTTTTGATAATAATTGATTTTGTGATTCAAAATTTATTATTGCTACTTGTGTGACACTTTTTTGATGATCTTGCAACACGTATAAACATTGACCAAATGTTGTTGAGATTTTTGTTCGTCGTAGAATACCACGTGATTCTAATTGATTATTATTATCATCGTCATCATCAATATGATGATCAAATTGATTTTCACTTTGTACAATTGTCAATTTATCAGTCAATGACCAAACACGTACCGTATTATCGAATGAAGTTGACATTAAAATTGGTCCATATGTACAACAACGATTAATGAATGCTTCATGACCATAAAGTGTCATAAGACAATTACCATCTTCAATACGCCATATTTTCAACGTACAATCTGCTGAACCAGAAATGACCAGATAACGATGAACTGTACAACAGGTAATATAATTTTTATGTCCACTTAATATACCAATACATTCACAAGGAGTGGAAAATGTACTCCATAATAATATGATACCATCTTCACCACCGGACACTAATAATGATAAATCTTCACTTATTGCTAGACAATTAACAGCACCAGAATGATCATTAATTTCCTGTTGTAATAGATGATTTCCGGTTAATGCTTTAGGGATTTAGAATTCTAGTGGAAAGAAAACTAGTACGTCGTAATAATGATTCAAATCGATCAGTCATTATTGATGATGTTGAGACGATTGAACCAATTTTTCGATCAGATTTTAAACGATTCTTTTCCACTGATTTTATTGGTGATGATGATTCTTGAATCACTAATGATGATTGTTTGTTTTTTTCATTCTCATTTTTATCACAATTATCATCATCATTATGGTCATCAATATTTTTATCGATATCCGGTACAGATGAATGATCATCATCATTTGCTACTGTTGATAGATTATCACCAATCCATGGTGATGTTTCGATGGAATTATTTTGAACAGATTCTTTGATTGATTGTGATTGATTAGCTAAAATAGGCGGTGCTGTTGATAAACGTTGATTATCATTATTATAATCAATGATGATATTTGATTGTTTATTGGTCAATCGTATTGGTGCCGATCGAATTTTATATCGATGATGATGATTATTATTGGCCATTTTTGTTGTTGTTGTTGATGATGATGAACATTATTCTATTTCATTGGAATAAATGAAATGAATGATTCAAATATATAAAAAAAACTGGTCGTTTTGCTGTATGGTTAAAAATTAATGTGTTCCACTATGAAATGAATCAGTCATTTGACCTCATAATATTACCAATAATAATAATAATAACAACAACAACAACAATAACGGCAACAAAATCTAGGGCGTGTGACAATCGACAACAGCAACAAAAAATCCTATACAATGATGATGATTGCAATAAATAAAATTGCTTATGATTCTAGGTATTCATATAAATATTCTCATCATCATCATCATTATTATTAATTATTTACAAAATACACACACACACACACACACACGATTCAGAATCTGTTATCATTATTATTGTTATTGTTATTGTTTGATCATTAATATTTCGAAAAGATTATCATCATAATCATCATCATTATTGTACATATATAAATGAAAAAAATGGTCAATGATGATAATCCATGTTAGTTTGAATGTTTTGAAATTATTTTTATGAATGTAAATATCTGTAGCGGTGGTGGTGGTAGCGGTGGTGGCAGAGAAAAATCAAGTCTATCCCCACACATTCAAATGATGGTTCAATCGATCAAAAGAAATATGATTGTGGTTATGAAATAAATGGAAATAAAAAGAGAAAGTCAAAAAATAAAAAAAAATTTGACATCAAAATACAACAACAACAACAACAGCCAGATTTAACACTTTACCCTTTTTTTCCCATTCAATAATCACACACACACACACACACATCTCATAACTATTCAAGCACTAAATTACCATTCATCTGGAACATCTCTTACACGTTATATTTGTGGTGGGTTGAAAGAAATCGTTTTTTTGCTGTGAATACCAAAATAATAAACGCACCATATATATATTGTATATATATACAGATTTCAAAATGGATTCTTGTTCAACTGGTTTAGAGCAAAGTGTAAAAGAATAATAATCAAAAAAAAAAAAAAAAATCCAGATCAACCAAGCATATCAAATGGCATTTTCTCGTTTTTTTTTCTCTCGTTAAATTCTTTATTATTATTATTATTATTATTATTATGGAAACATACGATTAATATATTTCAGGTTCCAGAAAAAAAAAAACGAATATATTTAATGCATAATAAAAATGGAAATATATTGTCTCGCAATTGAGAATTCAGGCCAACCTTCATATTCTGATTGCATACACACACACACACACACACACACACACACACACACACACGCATACACAGTGAAATTCCAGAATATATCGAAAATATATTCTAGCAGATGAAATGAAAATTTGAAAAATTCATTTTTGTTTTTTTTTGGGTTTTTGATAAATGAAAATTTTTTTTTTAATGAATTTTTTCTTGTTTGTTTGCAAATTCTTTGATAAAAACAGAAAAATTATTTCAATTTCGAAGCAATCAATTGGTGTGTGTGTGTGTGTGTACGAGTGTGTGTTTGGAGAGGTGAGAGAGTGGTTGAAAAATGATGACAAAATAAAATTAAAAAAAAAAAAAAATAGTGGTCAGTTTCCATTCCAAAAGCACAAAAATCAAAACAAAACAAAAAAAAACAAAATTCATATATAGCAAACACACACACACGCCACAGAAACAAGAAAAAAAAATAAATATTGCACCACATAAACAAACAAAATAAAGAAAAAAAAATCGATCGATCGATCGATTAAATTAAAATCGATATATCAAAATGAAAAAAAAATGAAAAAAAAACAGAAGAAATTGAATTTAAGTCAATCAGTGTGATGATGATGATGATGATAATTATAATTCATTCAAAATGATAATAATGTCATTTGTTGTTGTTGTTGTTGTTGTTGTTATTGTTTCAAATGATTCAAATAAATTTGATTTGATTCAATTCAATCGATTATAATCGATTGATGATAGCCAAACATATGGTAATTTTTTTTTGTTGAATAGTTTTCAATTTGTTTTATAATTTCGGTGATAGATGGCGCCACAAAATCATGTTTTTTTTTGTGTTTTAAATTTTTAAGAAAATTCGAACAAAAAAAAATCATGTTTTCCAAATGTTTTCGTTGTTGTTGTTGTCTTTATATTTACAAGATTTTTTTTTTTGTTTGTTTGTTTGTTTGAAAATGATTAGCAAATGTTTGTGTGTGTGTGTGTGTGTGTTTGTAAAATGTAGAAAGGATTAAATGATGATGATGATGATGAATGAATAAGAAAAAGAGAAAGGGCGGCGATTATGATGATAATGGTGATGGTGATGATGATAAAGATCATAAACCATTGATAATGATGGCAATGACGTTGATGATAAATATGGCCAATAATAATGATGATTGATTTCTATTGAATTGGATGGTTGCTGAATTATTTTCACCGGTTTCTAACCATGATTGAGCTTGATTGTGTGGAAAAGAAAAAGTTTAGAATATTAGAATTTTTTTTTTTTATTTGAATTGGAATATTGAAAATTTTTTTTTCATTACCTATGTTTGGTACAAACACGGTGCTTTTTCTTAGCTCATGTTTAAGTTCATCTTGGGCAACCAAACATTCAAACATTGTTGGTTTAGCCATTGTTTTTGTTGTTGTCGATGATGATGATGATGATGATGATTTTGTTGGTATAATAACTTTTGATTGCTGCTGTTGTGGATGATAATATGAATGATATGAATGTCCATCATTTGATGTTGACATTGGCTGTGCCATTGGTAATGATGATGATGATGATTGTGATCGATCATTACCACCACCACCACCACCATTATCTGTATTACCAGCCGTTGACATCATTAATAAATCTTCATCATCAATAGAAACAATCATTGATACACGAAAAGCTCCATTTGATAATTGTGTTGAATTCTGTTGTACACGTGCACGTTCTAATGAACGTGGACGATGTACATTTGTTTGTCCATCACCTAATACTTGATAAATTGTAAGCTCCGGTAATGGATATACATTTTCAACTGTACATTCTATTTCAGTAACTGTAACTAGAGGATGATTATGATGATCATCATCATTATTATTATTAACACCTTGAGGCAATATTGAATCTTTATATCCCTGCTGCTGCTGTTGTTGTTGTTGTTGTTGTTGTTGTTGTTGTGACCGATGCCTTGTATTTATTGATAAAGGCCGTTTCGATAATGTTGAATCGGATTGACGTGATGATGATGAAAGTCCAGCAGCTGAACCAGACCATAAACCATCAGATGGACGTGAATGTTGTCGTTGTTGTTGATATTGATATTGATCTTGTCCACCACCGAATGGATGATCCGATTGTTGTTGACGATCGGATTGTATATTATTATTCGATATTGTCATTATTGTTGTTGTTGTTGATGGTGTAAATCCGGCTGCCAATATGCGTCCATTATTTGTATAATTTGCTGGATTTTGATGCTGCTGTCGCTGTCTGCTGCTGCTGCTGATGATGATGATGATAAATAGACCAGCCAGCAGGCAATGATGGTCCAGTATTACCACCATATTGGCCATTTGATTTGAATGCAGCTACATTTCTTTGTCTTGTTACACGTCTTGTAATCAGATCAATGGATTTTGTTTTCGCTACAGGGTACAAAAAAAAATCGATATCATTAATATTTTATTTAAACACGAAAAAAAAAAAATAAGAATTTTCAATTTACACACCAAACACACACTTACCATAAACAATCATTGTATCAGCATCATGAGCTTCACTTGTAAGTGCAATCACATGACATGAATAACGTCCAGTCATTTCAACCGTTGGCCTAATAAGATTGAGCGAACGATATTGTTGCCATGGTTCCGTTAAATTTGGACGACGATAATTTGTATTAACCCATCCTTGATAACGTTGTGGTACATGACGTGAATCTAATTCATAAATCCATTGATAAATTGGTTCAGGATCTTCACGAAAAAACCATTTCACTACTAATCCAGGATCATTATCTGGATCTAATGTATATTCACAATCTAATACTATTGATTCACGTGTACCATTTTCAATATATTTGGGCACTTTTATCTGATGTATTTTCACTTTAGCATCACAAACATCTAGTAAACATGAATTAAATGAAAAAGAAAAAAAAAGAGAAAAAATGAAATAAAAAAATTTCAATTTCAATAAAAAAAACAAAATTGTTGATCCATTCAAACCATCACCACCACCAACATCATATTTATATTTGGCCTCAAGGATAAGAATCGAGAATGTTGAAAAAAAATCAAACATTGTGTGTGTGTGTGTGCGTATCATCAACATATTTTTATTTTTTGTTCCGTTAAATATGAAAATAATAATTTGGATCAATGAGAAAAAAAAAAAACTTTCATTCAATAAATCCATTCGCACAAACACACACACGCAAACACAGTGAGACAGATGAAAAAAGAAAGAATCACCACTTTTTTTTTGTTAATCAGATTGTCCCATGTATAAATATGATATTTTGGCCCTGAAAGAAAATAGCTATATTAACCTCATCATCGTCATCATCATCATCATTCCAAATTCTTCTATCGACCTCTCTCTCTCTCTTATTCTCTTAAATAAAAAAAAACGCCATGAATTCTTAACAACATAACCAACAATAAAAAAAGATGAGAGAAAATGAGATTTCTGTTCTGTCTGAATATTGTATATCAGAATATTCATTTGAATTCATGGATTTTTTTTTTTTTTTTTTTTTGGGGATGGGAGTTTATGTTCTCGATCGAACTCTATTTATATTTTTTTTTTTTTTTTTTTTTGATAACCGTGTTTTATTATATCATGTTTTTCTTTATTTCTATTCATGGTTCACTTGGTATCTTGTGTAACATAACATAACATAGATTGACCTGAGGCAATATATTCTCATTCAGGATTTGTATATTATCACACACACACACACACACACACACACATGCACATGGAGACATCACACACACACACACACACACACACACACTGACACTAAATAGTAATATCATTTTTTGAGGCAACAAAAAAAAAAAAAAAAAAAAAAAATGAATAGATATCGAATAAATGGATCCATAAATATTTGAATGAAAATCGCTAATAGTAATAATATAACTTTAACATCCGGATTGTATCCATCCAATCTCACCATACACACACACACAAATTCATCGTTTCCAACCAATCGGGCAGGCTGGTGGCATTATTCTGTCTGTGTGTCTGTGTGTGTGTGAGAATAGAAACAGAATATGAACAGATTATTCCAATCGCTACATTAACATCATGCACATTTGATGATGATGGAAATGGTGAAATGGAATAGAAAAAAAAGAAGAAGAAAAACTTTGAAATTCAAACTTTCAAAGATTTTCTTCTTCATTTTTTTTTTATTTCTTCATCATCATCATCATCATCATCATCATCAGTTCCAGAAATTCGGTAAAAAAACGAAAAAAAATTTTTTTTCTTGATGGAATTCTTCATTTTTTTTTTAACAAATTCTTTTTTTTTCTTTGAATTTATTTTCACCCATCCACTTATCACTCTTTACATCCATGTTTACACACCCACATCATAGAATAGAAAAAAAATATGTTACCCAATACCCTAGTACAACATGGGCAATAAAAAATTTACAAATTTTATTGCAAATCAACCGACCAGGTTCTAGGATCCATCCGCCACCATAAAAATGAACGAAAAACCAAACAACGACAACAGAACCAGAAAAAAAACTTGCAATGATAATGATGGTGTTGTGAAAAGAAAACCAAACGATTCTATTCTACACCACTATGAACAGAACAATAAAAACAATATGTGTAAATAACAATAACCGATATATTCATTTGGCAACAACAACAACAACTGCAACGACAAAAAAAAATACAGAGAGAAAAAAAATTTCAAAAGTCGAATTTGAATATTTCAATTCTATAAACACTTTTTTTTCGTATTGCATTTGTTTTTCCATCATCATCATCATCGTCATCATGATTCTGGGATGAATATATTTTCACGTTTTGCTTTTCACTTTTACTTTTACTTTTACTTTTTTTTTTGCTCTGGATTCTTGAAAAGTCAAGAATTTTGCATTCTAATGCACATGCATTCGTTTTTTTTTTGTCTGTATGGAATATTCATTTTGAATTTTTGTTTTTTTTTCTTCATCTCCTTCATTGGTTCATCTCCTCCTACCACTTACACACACACACACACACCTACGAATGAAATTCTATCGAAAACAGACACTATGGTTCTGGTATAGTGTGTGTTACTTTTTCTCAGAAATTTTATGCATAAAGTTGGAAATAAATATTGCTCTGTACATGTGTTTGTTTGTGTTCAAAGCCTAAGGCTAGGCTGAATCGAATATTGGAAATTTCAATTTTTTTTTCGCAGTGAGAAAAAAAAACATTTTCAAATTCTTCATGCATGTGTATGTGACAATATATTGGATGACAATTTTTTGTTGTTGTTGTTGTTGTTGTTGGCAATTGAAAATACATATTGGATCGTGATTATGGATAAATTGAAACAGAGCCAAAAAAAAAGTGGAAAAAGAAAAATGAAATTATGATACAGAGAAAAAAAAATCAAACGCCAAAACAACAACAACAACAACAAAAACAATCAAGCTTTTTTCTATTCTTGATGAGGATGATGTAACGATCATCCCCAGGAGAAGAAGAAGAAGAAGAAGAAGGAGAAGACGGAGGAAGAAAAAGATATCCAAAATTGCAATGTAATGATATGATGATGATAGCTGGCTAAAAAGAAAAAAAACACACAAAAAACCAGATAGAATTCTGCTACTACACACACACACACAGAGAGAGAGAGAGATGATTGGATCATATTATATAATGGCTGTTTTGGTGTATGTATGGATCGACTTTCGATGATTCGAAAAGATTCAATATTCTACATTCAAGATACAATCAAACAACCAACCATCCAACCATCCAACCAACCAACAATCGACAATCGACAACAACAACATTGAAAACAACAACCAAAACACACAAGGCCTTGATCATATTATTATTATTATTATTATTATTTGCACCAGAGAGAGAAAAAAAAAATTCGATTGCAAATTGATATGTATGTCGTAACTTACAGCGTATACGATATTAGATTGGTTGTTCTTTTACTTTTTTTTTTTTGGGGGTGTCTATTTCTCTCTTTTGTCTGGTTTCTTTTTTGCCATTCATTCATTCATTCATTTTATTTCAATTTCATTCATTCATTCATTCTATTTTCATAATATTATTATATCCACCATTTCCACCCATCCATTCCCCAATTCGTTTCGATTATTTGCTTGTTTCTGGTAATTTTTTTTTCCTTTTTGTTTCTGATTTTTGATTCAATTTATGGTGTAGCACATCTGCTGCTGCTGTTGCTGTTGCTGTTTCTGAAGATGATGATGATGATGATGACTGTAGTGAAGAAAAGATGCAAACGAAGAATCATCATCATCATCATCATGTTTTTACATGTTTCGTTTATCATTTGTTTAATTTTGTTTTGCAAGTGTGGATAGTGTTTAGAGGTATTACACTTAAATGATCATGATCATATATATGTATATGGTCAATATGGATGTATACAAATAAAAAAAAATAAACAGCAACAAAATTATTGATATATTTCAATACTGCTGCTGTTCATGTCAATAATATTGATTCTATTGAACAATCAAATTGTGTAAGAATTTATTCCATAATCATCATCATCATCATCATTGGTAACAATCAATTTAATTCACTTTATTCGTTTCTAATTTGATTTGATTTGATTTGGTTTGTTTGTTTGACCAAACAAAAAGGGCAATTCATTTATTTAGTTTAGTTTAGTCAATTTAAGTCCAAAAATCAAATCCAATGATAATGATGATTATTATTATCGTTGAAAGAATGGCTGAATAGTGAATGAAATGATATTGTTATGAAAATTTTATTATAATTTCTGCAATGAAATTCTTTCTAGAATCATCTATTCACCAGTAATAACCAAATGTATGTGCAAGCATACACACACACACAGATGGAGCTCAAAGAATTTGCTTAAGAATCGATTTCGATATTGAAAAAAAACAATTGAAATTATTATGGATTCTCATTTTTAAAAGAAGTTGAAATGGGGGCCAATTTTTTTTTTCGTTCGTGTAAATGATGATGATGATGATCGTCTGATGGCAAAAGCAAAAGCAAGGCCTCCTCCCCCGCGAAAATCGAATCGAAACCACTTTTATATATTTTTGTTTTCTTGATCGTAATAATGATGATGATCATTTTAACCACCACCACCGCCACCACCACCATCATCATTATGTGAGGAGACGATAGAAAAAAAAATTTCAAGCAGATGGTTGCTCGTTTAAATTTCATTTCATTTCATTTTTGTTAGACATCGCAAGAGAAAAAGTGGTTGCGGTAGTGGCGTCGGCTGTGGCTCAAAAAAGAAAGCTACAATTTTTCGTCAATGTGTCCAATGAAAAGCTTTCTTCATCATCATCGTCATCGTCATCATTTACGTTTTTTTCCCTTTTGATTTTTCAAAGAAAAAAAATTGTTTCATATGTCAAATACCGGTTAAAAGTTTCAACAACAATGGCAACAGAAAAAAAACTTTCAAGTTGATTCAAAAAAAAATTGAAAGACATATATAAAAAGAGGGGAAAAAATAAAGTGAAACGAAACGAAACAAACAAACAAGAAAAAAAAGACGACCAAAACAATCACCATTATTATATATCAGAAGACTAATTGACACACGTGCCACCATACAAACATACATACAAAACATTTGTGTGACACCTGCCAACACAATACCCAATTTTCGATAAACTGTCACTGCGTTTTTAGCAGCAGAATAAAATTCTACTTTCAAGTTTTTTTTCAGAATATATAAAATGAAAAAAAATTCTTTAAAAAACGAAAAAATTTCAATTTTTCATACTAGTTGTCTCAAATTTTTTTGTGTGTGTGTGTGTGTGTGTATGTATTGATAGTTGAAAGTTGAGAGTTCATGTTTTTAGTAGTTTAGAGGAAAAAATTCTATTGGAAGCAAAACAAAACAAAAAAAGCCCAAAGGAATTACCGAATGGAATTTTTGAACATTTTTTTTTCTCTCCATTCCTTTTCATTTCATTCGTACTGACATCATCATCCTCATCATCAACAACAACAGCAGCAGCAGCAGCAGAATCCATTCAATTTGACAGGCACAATGTTATTTTATACACACACACACACACACACAAAAATGACAAGAATGAAAAAAAAACAAAATTCCTACGAAAAAAAAAATAAACCAAAAGTTCTAGTTCTAGTTCGGTCCACTGGAACATTGGAATTGAAATATTTTTTTTTCTAGTATTCGGAACTCAAATTTAAACGAAATAAAAAAAAATTCTGATGATCAGAATGTAGGAATAGAAAGTAAGAATTTACCTTTGAAAAAATATTTTTTGTTTTTCAAATAAAAAATGGAATTTTTTTTGTTTTGTTTTGTTTTACAAAGAAATCAATTTAAATTAATGGAAAAAAGAAATGTGGAGCAAAAAAAAAATTCCATATTAGTCAATATTAATCATCGTCATCATCGATACCATCGATATTGTCGTACATTTCAATTTACTGATTCTATCCTAATATCTATCTTGATACGGAAAAAAACAAAAAAGAAAATTGATTGCCCAAATAGATAGACAATAAAAACAGAGAGAGAGAGAGAGAGAGAGAGAGAGAAGAGAGAACAAAAGAAAAAAAAAGATTAAGTCCATCGATGATGATGATTTGTAATGTGGGTGATGTAATGTGTGTGTGTGTGTGCGATGATGTCTTTTGATGATGATGAGAATCAAAGAATTTTGGAATTTTCGGGTAAACTTTTTTTTTCTCTCGTGATATTTATTATTATCGGTCTATCGAATGAATTATATAAAAAAAAAGCAAAAGCAAAAACAAAAAAAAAAGGAATTTATCGTTGTGCGACAACAACAACAACAACAACGACCAGTAAATCAAAATCGAAATCACATTTTTGTCTTTATCACCATATATATGATCATCATCATCATCATCAACATGGCCATTGTCATTGTTTTTCGGCCGAAATATTTCTTTATTGGAAAAAAAAAGTTTTTTTTTCCAACATTCCCATAATACACACATACATAGACATTTTTTTTATGGACAACATTATATTCATTTACAACGATTGATTGTCCATATAATTATTTCTATTTTTTTTTATATCAAAGAAGAAATTTTTTTTTCTTTTTGTTTGTCAATTGATCTCGATTCCAGATTCCAGAAAAAGAAGAGATCGAAGACACACACACACACACACATCATTGTCATCAAAATTGAAAGACAAGTTTCATATATAATCATCTTGATGATCATCAGTGAACTATATTATTTATATATGGCTAGAATCAAATGATGATGATGATGATGACAATAATAAAAATGAAGTTTTTTTTCTTCTCTTCCATCATCATCATCATCATCATCATCATCGAAATCGCAAGAGTATACACACACACACACACACATTATTTTTGGCAGAATTGAGAGAATTTTACTTTTCATCAATTCCGCCAGTGATGGAATGTTTATTTGTTCGTTTTTTTTTTGAAAAAATTCGCTCATCAAAAATGCGATAAAAAAACTGAAAGAATTTATTTAAAATTATAATTAGAATTTAAACAAAACAAAAAAAAAAAAAAAAAAAAACACTCAAAATGATGCAAACTCTAAATTCAAAGTTTTTTTTTGTTTTGTTATTTATATTTAAATGCCAACATTGTATTCATGGACCCCAGAAGACTGATTCAAATCAGCCAGTTTTTTTTTTTTTGCTTTTTGCTTTTTCTCCATCTTTCTCGGTTCTATAGAATGTTCCAGAGATCCATTTGTGTGTGTGTGTGTGTCACAAATACAGAATCAGACTTTAAGGAATGAAAAAAAACTTTCTTTTTTCCGATTTCAATTCCGGTTTTTTTCTGCTTGCTCTGGAATTAATGTTTGCCTTTTTTATTTTTATTTTTACATACTCAAAGCAGAAAGTCAATAGAATAAAGTGAAGAACAAAACAGAATTTTTTTTTTTTGGTTCATTCAAAGTTCTTTTATTTTTATTCCTTCAAATTCCTTGAATTAATCAGGAATCATTGGAAACAGCAAAAAAAAAAATTACACAATTCTCAACCGAACGTTGAACGCATGGCCGTTTTTTTTCCATTTGAATTAATGTGTCAAGTGTGTGTGTGTGCATGTGTGAATGTTTGTCATAAACAACTTGATGACCATTATAAACGGTGTGATGATCCTATCAACATATTAGATGGATGGATCAGAATAGTTCGAAAAAAAGATTGTCAGACAATTATGATGAGAAAAAAACAAAAAAATATATCCGGAAACTAGAAAAAAAAATTGTTCAACATCACAATACAATGTGTAATGATGATTTTGAGACAAAACAAAGAAAAAAAAAGATGATGATGATGATGATGATACCCGATACCGGAATCAAAACCATAAATGAAAGAGGAGAGAGAGAGTGAAATATTATGCACTTTTTGTTACCACTCCTCATTCTTAATGGTTTGTCCGATATAGAAAGCAAGTGAAAGTGAAAAAAAAACAATTTCATTCAATGATCGATACAATCATCCATCACTGTACATGTCAAAACAATGATGATGATGATGATGATGGTAATTCTATTAGATTTTGGTTATAATACTGATTTTCGTCGTTGCAATTTGGCAGAACAAAAGTGAAATCGAAAATTGAATGGATCAACAACAACAAAAAAACAATTTCATTCAATGATCGATACAATCATCCATCACTGTACATGTCAAAACAATGATGATGATGATGATGATGGTAATTCTATTAGATTTTGGTTATAATACTGATTTCTCGTTGCAATTTGGCAGAACAAAAAAGAAAAATCGAAAATTGAATGGATCAACAACAACAACAACAATCATCATCATCATCAATTATAAATTATTCTATACAGATAGATAGTGTATAAGTGTGTTCGGCATCAACAACAACAACAACAACAACAACAACAGAGATAAAATTATAAACAATAAAATAATAATAATCGAAACAATGACAGCGACAATAATAGTAGAATTGAAAGGAAAAAAAAAAAACACTTACCAAATCGATTGATGGTCATAATAATCATCATCATAATGATCACAAATTTTGCCAAATAATAATGTCCATTATTTTGATGATGATGATGATGATGATGGATATTTGTGGTTACTAACGAACTAATTGAATCACTTGTATTGCAATATTTTTCATTATTCATCCATAATGAATTATGTTGATGACCACTGGTTGCTTTCGATAATAATGGATAAATGTAATTTTTAATAGGAAAATAATGATAATTTTTATTATAATAATTAATTAATAATGATGATGATGATGATGATGGTGATGAGGTTTTTTGAATATTTAAAGCTCGATTTTTTTCATTATCATCAATATTATCATTTATTCTAATTAATTTATCATCATCATCGATATGTTGTTGTTGTTGTTGTTTTATTTTATCGTTGTTGTAGTTGTTGTTGTTGTTGATTTTCAATTTTCTATAATTCATGATATGTTTCCATGATGAATCTAAGATTTTAAACATTAAAATTATCATCAATTTGATGGTCATCATTATTATCATTTGAATAATGGAATAACGATAATGATGATGATGATGATGAATATAGGGTACCATAATGGATAATGTTGTTGTTGTTGTTGTTGTTGATGTTAATATTTGGCACCATGGTGGAATTAATTGATCATTATAATGATAACGATGATGGTGATGATCAAATGTTATAATGGACGTCACGGGAAATGATAATAATAAATAATGATGATTATTAAATGATAAACATGGCCAACATCTTAAACATGATGATAATGGTGAACGATAACAACAAGTGTCCATTGTTGATGTTGTTATTGTCGAATGTCTTATTACATCATTATCAATGGCTGATGTGAACAATTCTTGTTCATTTTTGTCGTTTTTATTATCACCATCATCATTATTATTATAATTCAATGGACAATATTCATGAATTTTTTCCATAATTTTCATCTTTTTGTTTTATAATGAATTTCTGTTGTCAAGAATTGTCACTAAAAAACAACAACAACAACAACAACCAATTGTCGATATTTGAGCCATGATGTTGGTGACAAAAAAAAAAAAATTTTTTTTTTCGTGGTCCATATATCTAAATATCACTTTCATACAGAATTTTGTGTCATGTTTATTGTCGATGATGATGATTATGATGAATATTCTGCTGAAATTGAATAATATTGTTGATGATGAACATAATTTCAGAGACGACAAATTCATTTATTTCAATTTTTTTTTAGTTTAATGTTTTTATTTTTTCACAGAATTCCAAATGTGTTTCTCATTTGCAAGTTTTTTTTTGTTTTGTTTTTTGACAAGCACACACAAAAAAAAAATTGACGATGAATTTTTGTTTTTGTTTTTGCTTAGGTTGACAATTTTTTTTTGCCATTCATTTATTCATTTTTTATTTAATGTCTGCCGCCAACAAAATCCAAATACAAAACACACACACGTACACAAAATCAATCTAGAGCAATGCCTAGAATGAGAAATGCACAGAAAAAAAAGTCGTTATTTACACACATTTTCGATGTGATATGAGAGAAGTGAGAATAAAAAAAAATTGTCTCTCGATGGATGTTCAACATATATCATTTTGATGGTAACACACAGAGGGATCCTGGTAATAAATTGGAAAAAAAAAGAAAAGAAAAAAAACAATTAATTAATATATATATATGATGATGATGATGATGAAAATCAAGATAAAAATGATGAATTTTTTTGTTGTTGTTGTTATTATTCAAAATTCAAACAAGTAATACAGAAACAAAAAAAAAATTTGAATTCAATCAACCCTGACAACAACAACAACAACAACAACAACAACAACAACAGCAATGAAAACAAAAACCTAGTCAACTATACAACGAACAAAATAAAAAGAACAATAAAACAGCCATTCATTCATTCATTCAGTTGATTGGTAGCTTGGTGAACATTGCCAAAAAATTTCTCTCTCTCTCTCTCTCTCTCTCTCTCTCTCTCTGATACGTTTTATTTGAATTTTAATTTTTGTTTTTGTTTTTCATTTTAAAACTCAAATTTCAAAAATCAAAGCCTTCCTCTCTCTCTCTCTCTATCTAGCTCTTTTTTCTTTATGCCTTTTGGCATCTTCATTTGTTTTGACTGTGAATAAAATTATGGGTTGCTATAATGATGATGATGATGATGATCATCATCATTATTACAGAGCAATTATCACCATCATCATTTTGGATGAAATTTTTTTTTGTTTTTCTTTAAACAATTCTCTCTCATCGAATGGCAGAAGAAAAAGATTTTTTTGTTGTTCATTTTCCATTGCCAAATAAAATTTTTTTTGTTTTTGTTTTCAACACACTAAACATTCGAATTGATAATGGTGGCTATGAAGCAGTAGCACATCACAACACAACACAACTATACCATCATCATCATCATCATCATCAATGTGAAATTATATGATGCACATCTCACGCAAATTCTCACACACACACACACATAACATGAATTTTTTTTCTGGTTTACTAATATCATACAATCATTGGATATTTTTTGACAGAATTTTCAAATGAATTGAGTGTAAAAAAAAAATTTTCAACTTTTGTGAATGCAAAAGATTCTAATCAAATGACGATGATGATGATGATGATGGTACTAATTACTTGATGAATAAATATCTACTCAATGAACACAAACAAACAAACGGAGAGAGAGTGAGACAGAATTGACGAAAATAGATGAAAAAGAATTTAGTCTTCAATAGTCATTATTCGTATTTTTTTTTTGTTATTCACTGCAGATACATGAAATCAGTCTGGTCGTGTGTGTTTGCGTATGTCGAATCATTTGCATTTTTGAATTTGAAATTTTAAAAATTTTTCTTCAATAATTTGTCATTTGAGCAAAGAAATAGAGAAAGAAATCGATTTTTTTTCGGTGAAAAAAAAATGAAAAGTTGATGATGAATAATCATTTGAAAACCAAAAAAAAAAAAAAATTTCAGGTAAAACTTTATGCGTAATGTTTTTTTTTTCTTCGGGTGAAAAAAGCTGTTTATTTTTCTTTTTTGTTTCATGGTTGCAATCATTATAAAAAAAAGAAATTCCAAAATTCAAAAAGTGAAAAAAAAACATTCCTGGATCATTATCTATGGATCAATGTGTGTGTTTGTTCGTGAACACAGTGGAAAAAAAACCAAACAATGAAAATGATTGCTCGGTTTTTTTTGTTCATTTGAAAAGTTTTTTTTTTCAACGGCAAAAAAAATCAATCAATCGATTTTTGTTGTCGTCGTCGTCGTCGTCGTCGTCGTCGATCATAACCGTTTTGACAAACTCGGCAACTGTGCATAGTATTTGGAAGAGAAAAACTAACCGACGAACGAACGAACTTTGTACACCTTTTTTTCAAGCTCTATCAATAATGATGATGATGATGATGATGATGATTATCATCATTTAAAGGGCACTACTTTTTTTTTATCTAGCGACAAAAATTATGAAAACTTCATTTGTTACTGTGGTAACCATTAGGAAAAAAAATGCAATGAATTTTTCGTCATTAGTTCCAGTTTTATCTGGAAAACAAAACAAAACAAAACAAAAGCAAAAAAAAAAATAAACAATGAAAAAAAAAATGAAAATGAGAAAAAAAAATTCTTGAAATTGAAATGGAATTGGCCCATAATCATCAATTGTATTCGAAATTCAAATATGTGGAATCGGGACAAATTTTTTTTTTTTGTTTTGTTCATTTTCCATATTCAATGAATCTTTTTTTTCCCCTCACTGGTTGTCTCATGTGACTTTTGCATTCTCATTCGCACATGAAAAAAAAAAAAAAAAATAGAAATGACATTCTTTTGTTATATATTGAGATTCTTGATTCTCGTTAGTTTAGCAGGAATAACAAAAAAAAAAATCAGAAAAAATTTTTTTTTCATCATCATCATCATCATTTGACTTGTGACAACTTTATCTCGTTTTTGGTTTTTGGTTTGTTTTTTTTTTTTTTTGTTCACTATTCAGTTCTGTACTTCAATCTCTCAGATGGTTTTCTCTGTCGATTTCAACAATATTTTTTTTTTCTCTTTCACTTCATCTTCATCTTCAATGATAGATCAGTATTTTATATATATATATATATATTTTGTGAAGCGAGAAGAAAATTATTCTTATCGAATACGGAATCGTACACAATGTGAACACACACACACACAAACAAACACACATCGACAAACATTAAATGAAAAAAATTTGAAATTTGACTATTGGGACTTATTTTCTTAGTTTTTCATCTTTTTTTCTCTTCAGTTCTTGTTGGGATTTTTATTTATCAATTTTTTTTTGTTGGCCTTATCCCACCATTCAAAATTTCACACAACATTTTTCACCATTTTATCCATTTTTTTTTTAATTCAATGTTGGTTCGTTGAATTCAAATTTGAATTGTGATTCAGGAAGAAAAAAAAATTTTTCAGTCAGTTAGCCAGTTTTTTGTTGTTGTTGTTGTTGTTGTTGTTGTAAATATTATGGTTGTTGAACATGATATTTCAATTTTTTTTATATTTTGCTTTCTCTCTCTCTCTATCTATCTACACACACAGTCATACATTAAATTTTGACACCTGTCATATGCACACACACACACACACACACACATACACAAATACAGTTCATTTTTTTTCCCACTGTAAACATTGTCATCAAAACTTGTAAATGATTGTTGTATATTGATAGTATTAGTTTATCATCATCACTATTATTACCACTACTACCTAACGGTGGAAAGATTAATTTTCGTTTGTTTTCGTTCTTCTGTTTTTTTCCATTATCATCATCATCATCATCATTTGAAGCATTTTTTTTGTTGTTTTCTATTTTTTGTTTTGTTTGTCTATTTGTCGAAAAATGTAAAGATGCATCATCGGGTCATTGAACAGTGGAAATAGAGAAAAAAAATTGGAAAAATTTTTTGTTTGTTCAAACAAAAAAAAATTTTTGTTATCATGATTGATGTCCGATATATATATATATATAAACCGATTCAATCCGGAATCCGGTTATGATGATGATGATGGTGATGATTTTTTTTTCTTAAAATTCAAGAAAAAAAATGCCAGTTTTTGATGTTGTTGTTGAAATAATAAATAAAAATATGGTTATTGAAATGAAAATTCATTCAATACCGTATTTATTCGTTATCGTTTATGGCTGGCAATGATTATTTGTATCAGCGACAATACCAGAATGGCATATATAGAATTATAAGGATTTATTTATTTATTTTTTTTCTGTACGGCCATAATAATAATCATAATAATGATGATAATTTAAAAAAAACGTTTCTCTCTTGCTCTTTACAATTCAATGACAATTTTTGGTATGTGTGTATATTGGGAGTAATGGAATTCAAGTTGAATATAAATGGATGAATTTTTTTTTTATTTTATTTTATTTCCACTGGACGATAATTTACACACTTGAATTGTTGTTCACTCATACACACACACACACACACATCACATTTATGGTGATTATGTATTGAAAATTCTATTCTTTTTTTTTGCCCGAATGAAAAAAAAAGTTTGATTATATTCAGATTATTGCGGCCATTTACCATTTTTCTTCTAGCATCAATACGGATTTTCCTTTTGAATGAATTCGAATATTTTTTTTCTCCATATCTAAACAGTAATGGGCAAATAAGTAGAAAAAAATATGGAAACCAACCAGTATTTTCTATTGCTCTGTCTATCTTTAAAATTTTGTGACAATCACAAAAATCACGAATACACACACACACACATATTGAGAAAGAAAACGAGAAAATAATTCAATTGACCAAATAAATAAATGAAGGAAGGAATGAATGAATGAATGCTGTAGACACAGATTATTTGCAAAATAAAAATAAAAATGCAAACAAACAAATATGACCATTTGGTCATAATTGGCCCATTGATCATTGAGTCTAATCAGTATCCAATGCCAACAAACAAACAAACAAACAAAGTTTGGTATCCAACACACACAGCAGCAGCAACAACAACAACAAGTAATTTTATTTTTTTTTCTCCTTGTAGTTTATCATTTCAAAGAATATTCTTTCAGTTTATCATACAGAATAAAAACTAACAGAATTTAGAGAATCAGTTTTGTTGTTGTTGTTGTTGTTCTTGTTACTGATGATGATGATGATTAAGAACGGACTAAAGAATTCATAGTGTCCAAAGTTCAAGTATGATAGCAAATGTTGGCGATGGTAGTGGTGGTGGTGGTGGTCATAATTCAAATGGTTTATAATAGGATTTTTCAGATGCTTGTTGTATTTTTTTATAGCTGATTGTCTGTCTGATTCTTATGTACACACACACAAAAAAATTACAACTTATCAGTCTTGTCTGTTGTACTATTAGATGGTTGATTGTCGTTACGAAAATGAAAAACAAAAAATTCCTTATTATTACAATTTTCTTGTAATAAGTATGCAGTTTGTTCATTCGAAAATATTTTTTGTTATTTCCATTCATTAAATACGTATATATAGAGGAAAAAAAAGAGAATACTATTCTAGTGTAAAGAATTTTGTTTATATACAGTCATTGACACTTTCTGTTCTTGTCATATCCATACA